TTTTCATGAGCCAGGCCTGGGGGTGATGCACATTGCCCCACACCTTCTGTGGGGTCACAGCCTGGTCACTTGGCCCCACACAGATGCCATGGGGCTAGGAATGCAGACCCTGACCAGCAGCTACTCTTACCTGTCTCCTAGCCTTTGGGTTGAACGATATGGTATCTGTGTTCCCTTACACTTAAAAAAAGAAATAGATCAAAAGGATATTCAGCCCACTTGATGACAGTGTGCTAGTTTAGAAGTTTGCATGTCATGGTTCCTGCTTCATTGTGAGGTGTTTTAATGCCTTTAGAGCAGTGGTAAGTACTCAGTCTGACTGCTCACTATCAGCAGAGTCTGTGACCTGTCCCAGAAGAATAGTCTGGTGTTCACTGATCATATACTGACTGACCATTGATAGGGGTTTGCAAGTTGTGTCGTATGAGAAGAATCTTTGAGAGCCTGTATTGGCTTGTGGGAGTTTTTAAGGTGGTGACTCCATTTGGGTAGGCTCTTAGCTTCCTGCTACAGCACCCACAAGGGCCAGCCTAGACCATTTGCCATGCCTGTTGCTAGGCAGGTGACAAAGAGGGAGTTCTGAGAGAGCACAGAAGAAACCCCAGGAACATATTCAACCCTGACAGTGAGTATACTGTCCTCTGACCTTACACGGGAATAGTGACAGCATCTGTCTCCAAGCCATGAACTCTTACTGCTACTCTGGAAGTCTCTGCAGTATCTTGTTATCACTTTTGTTTTACCCTAGGCTGTGGGCCTGGACTGGAGGATTCATTCTCCTGTTTGGTTAGTTGCGAGAAGGTGAAAGTTGGAATTATAGGAGCAGAGGCCCCTGGCAACCTTGTGGAGTTCTTTTACTAACTAGCTGTGAGGCCTTAGGCTTTTCTGAGCCTCAGAAAATCATCAGTGTCTGAAAAAAAATACCACAATGTCGTCTGCAAATGGTAATCCTAATAGCTCCTCTTCCTTATGGGGTGGTCATGAAGATTAAATGATAATCCCATAAAGTATTAAATCTAGGTTCTAGCATAAAATAGTGCTTAATAAGTACTAGTTATCATTGGTAAAAGTAGCACCATCATTTGACTTTCAAGGCAGTGGAAAGGAGATATCCTCATTGATGCCTCATGTTGCAAAAATGTAACATTTTGTAAGTCTTTGGCAATGTCTTAAAAGATTTTATGATGTAACTGTGATGCTTGGAAAATTTTTTCTTAAGCAGTCAGAATCTTTCATTTAGTAACCACATGTTGGGTACCTACTACATGTAAACAGGTTGCCAGGCACAGAAGGATTACAAAGAAAAAGAAGAGATGGGCTTTACCTTCTTAATGTTGTAAGAATTAGCCATGACTATATTTTAAATAGGCCGTAGCTAACCTAAGTTTCTGGTATCATCAGTGTTTTAAGCCAACTGCACATATTCTAATACAGACAAAAATAGTTGTGATTAACTCTTACTTTTAAAACAAGGCCAAGTCTAAAGTACCATACTTGAGTTTTTATTCCGGCCTCCTGCCCCTTGCTGCCAGTTGTCAACTAACCTCCCCCAACTCTTGTTACTGGTTGTCCACTTACACCCCTCACACGTACACCCCAATTACCAGGTTATTATAAAGCGTTTATATGTTGTGCGAAAAATGATTTCTTAAATTTTTTCAAGGTAATTACTTGAAAACAGACTGTGTTTTCATGTGAAACAGCTTAATGCTCTAATAATTAGTTTATTTAGCTTAGAAACTTGGTCTGGTACAGTGGCTCTTTACTTGGCCAGACTTTTTAAGGGTAGCATTACTATTGATTTCTTACATTTTTTTTTTTTAATTTAGCAAATCCTTGCTACTCTTACTTCAGTTTTTTTGTTTGTTTGTTTGTTTGAAAAAAGCTCATTTAAACCAAATACCCCCCATTATCTACTGCACAATATATAGAAAGTCAAGTTCATCAACATCTTATCTCGCCTGTTCCTTGTTCTTTCAGTCTATCCCCTGGGGTGCTAGAACAGGGAAGGACTTCATCACCAGATTCTTCTCTCCACCACAGCCCCTCTTTTAGCAGAGGAGGAAACTGAGGCCGGGAGAAGTTAGTGGCCTTGGCCACCAGCACACCACCACCGTGTGGCTGAGTCCTGGTGCCCCTCTGCCTGGCTGGTGGTATTTCTCTTTCCTCTGACACCCTTTCTAAGCTGTCACCAATTCCTGTTACTGTTGTCTTGAAATGTCTCTTGGTTTCCTCCTTCCCCATTTCTTCCTGTCTGATCTGGTCCCTCAACACCTCCCAGTGGCAAAGGCCAGCAGAGAACTTCGTCTCTGAGGCATCCATTTTACCAGACTCGTTTTCCCTAATTACCACTGTCAGCATGTCACTCCTCTTCTGTGAGGCTGCCAGGAGCTCCCTGCTTCCGGTGGCAACGTGGACACACACTCCTCCTGTTCGCGGCCCTCCTTCTCCATGTAGGCCCAGCTTCAATGCTGTCTTCTCCCCAGGAGCACCAAAGGCCCGCGGTCCTCTCTGGGTTTTCTCCACGAGTCAGCCACGTTTCTTTCATGCCTTTAGTTTGCGCTGCTCCCCAGCTTCCAGTTCTCTTCCTGCCTTTCCAACTACACCAGGTCCTTGAATAATGTTTCCTTCGGCTTCCTTTCATTATAACATTGATGACAACAAAAATGGCTTCCCGGCCGGGGCCACTGTCTGGAGTGTGCACGTTCTCCCCATGTCTGTGTGGATTTTCTCTGGGTACTCCGGTTTCCTCCCACATCCCCAAGCTGTGCCTGTTGGGTTTGTTGGTGTGTCTGCATGGCCCCGGTGTGAGTGGGTGTGGGGACGAGTGTGCCCTGCCATGGGATAGGCCCCAGCCACTTGTGACTCTGCACTGGAATAAGTGGGTGAATCATTATTTTACTTGTTTTCATTAATGTTTTTTTAAATATATGTATACCTTAAACTTATTTCACTGTTTAGTATTAGAAGTGTTTTGGTCTTTAGAAATTTGATGTTTTTGTGACGAGAGATATGCTGTAGGGACTTAACTCTTGTTTATATTGATTAGCCTATGGTAAAATTGGTTTCCTTATAGTCATTTTGCTTAAAGTTACAGTTTCCAAGAAGCTATCAACCACGTTAAGTGAGGACTTACTGTACTCCGTTCTTCCAGGCCAAGTCCAGGTTCCACCACTTTTCAGTGTTTTCTCTGATTACTGCAGTGATAACCCCCTGATCCCCCTTTATTCCCACACTTTTTATTATATCCTACCACATAGCATTGGACATAATACCCTCTCCAATATGGTTTGCTGGATTTTTCTTGAAATTGCATTGCCTTCTCAGTTATAGTTAATGCTCCTTGAAGGCAGGACTTACGTTTGTATTTTTCTCATATACGTGAGAAAAATTTCTCCCCCTTATCCATAGGGGAGACCCCCCCACTGCCCGCTGCGGATGCCTGAAACTGCAGATAACGCCGAACCCTGTATATGCTATTAATGTTTTTTCCTACAGGTACATACCTGTGATAAAGTTGAATTTATAGCTTAGACACAGAGATTAACAACAATAATAAAACAGAAAAATTATAACAATATACTATAATCAAATTTATGTGAATGTGGTATCTCTCTCCTCTCTTTCTCTTGCTTAAAATATCTTATTGTACTGTCCTCACCGGTCCTGTGATGAAGAAGGGATGGAGTGGGATGACATAAGATTTCATCACGCTGCTCAGAATGACATGCAATGTAACACTTATGAATTGTTTGTTTATTTTTGAAATTTTCCATTTAATATTTTCAGACTGCAGTTGACCTCGGGTAACTGAAACTGTGCAAAGTGAAACCTCAGATAAGGAGGGACCACTACATTCCATTTTTCATAGTGCCTAATAAGTGGTCAGTAATTACTACTTATTAGGGGCTCGATGAGCTTTTAAAAGATGTTGTCCAAAGCTATGAGTGGTTCAGATATTTGACAGTGTTTGCAGCTTGGATCAGGATTAGCTGTTCATATTACAGCATGGTGTTCTGTCTTCTAAGTGTTGCCAGGATCAATTGCTTTGTGTTAATGATCCTCTGGGAGAGATTGTCTATATAGGTATGGTGCTCACACTGACAGTTTGACTTGGGGATCAGTGGCTGGGTGGCAGGGAGTTGAGGGGCTCCCCTACTGAGAGCTGCACACCTGCCTTTCGGATCTTATAGTAGGTAATAATTACTCGAGAATGGATAGGAATAGCATTATCCTCATAACTCTGGCAGAGCTTCGGCACACCAGTGTGAAATGTAAACTGGCCCGTCTCCTTTTCCACTGTGTGTCCTTGAGCCAGTAATGACCTTGGTGCTCTCTTTTCTACAATACTGGCACAATATCCTGAGATTTAATCTGATCTTTGTCTAAAATATTTTTCAAAACCCAGTAAGTACTGTATCTTCCCAAAAAGATAAGTGTGTTATAGTAAGTTCCTGGTATTGGAAAAAGGAGAATTATTTAAAGAAGACTGTCTCTGCTTTCAGAATTTCTTATGCTACTTTTCCATGCCTTCCTAGTTTTCATGGTAGTCGTTCCTGCACTGAGGCACCTACAGATTTCATAGTACTTTGGACTATGGGCTTCCCAAGGCACACTCCCTAGGAGAATTGTTTCTGCTAAAGGCCCATAAACTTGGAATTATTTTTTCTTTAAGGTCAGCAGGACTAATTCCACCCTTATAAAATGGTTTGGCCTTTTCCCTCTTTGGCACAAAGGAGAATTAATTAGCAGAGGCTCAAATGAAGGTGAAGTTGACAGGCTCTGTCGTGGTAGGGAATTCATTGACCTTAGGCTTTTATTCTCCCTGTTAACCTCATGTTCTGAATCCTTGTCCCACTCAGAAAGTCTTCTCTTCCCACCTCAAGATATTTCAGATCTTTCTCACTTTATCTCCAACACACACGGTGAAATGCTACCTGACTTCATTTACAGAAAGTTACCCAACTGGAATCACACTAAGTTTTTTTTCTTTTTTTTAGGTGGATGGAAGTCTGCTTAGTTGAAGAATTGCCACCAACCACTGAACTGGAAGAAGGGCTCCGCAATGGAGTTTACCTTGCAAAGTTAGCCAAGTTCTTTGCCCCGAAAATGGTATCAGAGAAAAAGATCTATGATGTGGAACAAACACGTTATAAGGTAACCAAGATCTAATTGGTTTTGGCTTCCAGCTAAAAGTGAAAATCTGGTATTTCATTTCCTCTCCCTTCTTTTACTGTTAGTGTTTCTGTAGGATATTGTGGGAGAGGGGATGTCCTTGGTCTTTGGAGCCTGTTAATAATCATTCCTGAGGCAGCAGCAGTTTTAAAAAGCAAAAGTGTTTCTATTTCTGGGCTGAAGCTGAAAGACCCTTGGTTTGTTCCCCTCCCCCCAGTTCCTTCATGGAGATCTTTGGGACTTTACAGCGCCAGTAAGGGTAACAGTAGGGGCACACTACCCCTCCTTTTTTACCACCAACACTGCTTGTTACTCCCCATATTCTCATTAGCAAGCAGAGTGCTCAGCTGGGACTTGAACTTGTGGCCCTCAAGAGTTAGGGCCAATGTGATAAAACTAGTAGTAATGTTGATCAGCTAAGAATACTTTTCCATGTGGTGTTGAAAACAAAATAAGACTAATCTTTTTGTATACAACCAGTTTTAAGAATTGTTTCATGGCTAATTTGGAAGGACCAGAAAATATAAGGGGGTGTCATGGCCTCTTCAGAAACAACAGCAGCAGCAAATGCACCATTACTTAGATTTGGAAGAAGCATGGGGAAGAAAACAAAGTCAAAATAAACACCAATCTTACAGTAATAAAAATCTTGATCTTTTAGAGATATATATCAAAGTATTATATGTACAGATAAAATGATAGATCTAGGATTTGCTTCAAAATAATTGGAGGGAGGGTAGATAAATTATGCAAAACTGGCCATGAGTGCATAATCATTGAGGTTGGATAATGGGTACGTGGGGAGTTCATTATACTATTCTGTCCACTTTTTTACATTTGAAGATTTCCATTAAAAAGCAAGAGCAAAAAGTAAACACCAACCTAAGAGGTTTCTCCACTGGAGAGGTATCTTCAAAAGGGAATTTAAAAATGTCTGGTGTTGTATTCTGGGACACGTGACCTCTTATCTACTATGGGTCAAGGTTTCTGAAGCTTCTTGGAAACTTGATTCTTTATTTTCTTAATACATTTAGTTCTTGATATCAATATTTTCTATCTATAGATTTTCAAGTATCCTTAAAAGTGTTCTCTTACAAATAAAGTTATCATGCAATTGCAGGGACAATATTGACGATAGTTGAAAATGGAATGATGTCTCATTTATTGCATGATTCACACTACCTTTCAGTCCTTTAAACAAAATATATTTTAAAAATATGTGTATTAAATTTATATCAAATGAGTAATCATTAAGGCTAACTGTAGACAAGATCACTTGACAGATCTCTTTTGAGTCTGTTTTTTTAGCCTATTCAAAAAGGTAACTGAGCAAAAGTTTTTGCCTTGAGTAATGTTATGCATAAAAGTGTTTGCATTTGTTAACGTAAGTTTCAGTTCATGAAGTCATGTGTTTGACCCCAGAGACCCAGCTCAGTATAGCCTTTCAAAGGACTTTAATAAAACAATGACTTAGCCAAAATTGAAGTTTTAAAAAACTTTTTGGGAAATATTTTTAGAAATTCAGACAAACACAGAAAAAAACCATCTATATCCATACTCTTCTACAAAATAAACATTTGCCCACATTTTAGACTATGGCTTATCTTTTTTCCATTGCTTTTATTATGGTTATTATTAAGATCTAGATCTGTTAGTACTGACATGCATGTAGATTTGATGGTAGGGTTAAAGTGTAATTGGGCTAGATCCAGGCTGCCCTGAAAGGAGATGGTGGGCAATTTCTTTTGGCTTTATGGACTATGAGAGTCTGGCTGGAAAGGTAGGCACTTCCTGGAAGGTGAGCCTCAGAGCCAAGTATGGGTTAGCTCTTTTTTCTTCCTGGCACATCATATGCCTTGAATATAGGTGTCTCCTTCCAGATCAGCTCTGGGCCCTCATGGCAGTTGCCTCCTGGCAGCTTTAACAGGAACCTTCTCCTCCTGGCATCAGAAATCCGACTATTTAAATGAACAGCAGCTGCTCTTTGGGGAAATAATATTTTCAGTCTCTTGTTATGAAATATTATACCACAGGGCCTAGGCACGTGATGACATCCCTGAAGGAAACATGACGAGAGAGGGAAGTGTTCTGTTTTGCTGCCCTATCAGGCCCCCGGGTGGTTGGGTGGCACAGTAGTGATGCTGGCAGAGGGGCAGGAAGAAGGGAGGCAGCAGGAGGGAGGTACTGCTGGTCGTGGCATAGGGTTGCCCCTCCCCCATGCTGCTGAGCCAAAAGAAAAATTGGAAAGAACCTCTCCAGAGTCACTGGAGAGAGAGGTTTTTCTTTTTTTCTTAAATCCCTGAAAGTGCCTAGTGTTCTCGATGGAAATTTTTAGTGATTTGCCAAGTAATCATAAAATTTTATTTTGGGGCCTTCTCATTTCTATACAAAAATGAAAGGAGACAAATATTAGTGAACAGGCGACTCAACTTCCTGTTCTGTTCTTCAGAACTAAAGCCCGTCACGTGGTCCTTTCTAAGGCGCACTAAATCATGGGGCTGAGCAGAGATGCTAAAGCACAAGGGAACACTCACTCACCCGGGCCCAGCCCCTGATGTGCCATCTGGAAACCATGAATTCAGGGAACTGGGCTCTCTCTGCAGGGTCTGCCTAGGCTGCAGCCATGAAATATGATCCGCCTGTTAGGGTCGGTTAGGGTCAAGGCAAGGCTGTGCCCCTGATCCCTGAAGGACTCAGTGTTGGCACCAACAGCTCTGACAGCCATAGGTTAGGCAGACAGGAGCTTTCAAGCCGCCCCATTATCTTTGCCAGCTTATGTGCAATCTTGGTCCCTCATTAACTTAGGGTTAGAAAGATGTCCTAAGTGTTAGAGTTAAACCTTCCAAGGTCTGAGTTACATGACTGTGCCATGTGTGCTGTGGCACCTGACACTCTCTTGGACATGCCATAGTGTATTGTAAAGAAGGCAGGAACCGCGTATGCCTGCTCTGCCCTGTCCCCAGTGAGTGGCTCAGGGTCTGGTCCATAGTAGGTGATTGGCGAAATGGCTGTTGGGTAAAGGAATGAATGACGTTAGTATCATGTAAGCCAAAGTACTAAATTCCTTTCTTTTATGCTTTATTTGGTACTGATTCAGTGTGCTTAGAGTGTGATACGCTTCCTCCAAGTATGATGCTCAAACCTCCTGCAGAACCACCTGATGGGTGTGTGTAAAAACTGGACTCCTGGGTCCCACCACAGACTGCTGAGTCAGGTAGACTCTCTTGACCTGAGACTCAGCAAGCTATATTCTTAATAAATTACCTGCAGGTGGTTCTTTTCTTATATACTGCTAAGGTTTAGGAATCTGTGTATTAGGCTCTAATACACACTCTTTTTGTGTATTAGGCTCTAATACACAGATAAACATTAATATAATACATTATAATAAAGTTGTTGGAAAATAAAAAGTTGTGCCATGATGGAAATAGAGAGTAGAATACATTCATCCACCCGTACAACACGTGTCAACACCTTGCATGCCATGCATGGTTCTGGGCACTAACAGTAGACTAGTGAGCAGGGCAGACACAGGCCCAGTGTCATGGCACTTACATGGAGAGACAGACTGTAAATCTACAGCTGTGAATAGTGGTAAGCATCTGAAGGAAACGGAAGTGGCGTTATAGACAGATAGCAACGGGCAGGAGGTGGGCTTCTCTGAGGAGAGGTTTGCTCTGAAGCTGGAAGATTGGGAAGTCAGTCAACTACGTGCAAGTCAGGGCTGGGCAGTAGGAAGAACAGTCCAAAAAATAGGTTGGCCACAACAGAGTGGCTAAAAGGCTTCAGAGAGGGACAGCAGTGGGGGACGAGGCCAGGAGGGAAGCAGAGATGAGACCGTGTGGCCATATAGGCTCCAAGGAGAACCTGCGATTTCGTCCTAAGTGCAGGTGGCAGCCATTGAAGCCATAAACAGAGACATCCTGATGCGATGTGGTGCAGTTTGTGCTTTAGAAAGATCGGGTGCTGCCATGTGGGGAATAAATGGGAGGGAGGAGGAGGGTGGAGACAGAGTCCAGTGAGGGGTAATTCAGTCCAGGTGACAGGTGGCAGTGGCCTGCACAGACAAGTGAATGGCTTCAAGCAGGAAGACAAACGTAGATCCTGGAAGGGAGCTGGAAGTGGACGGATGGCCATGAGGAGAAGACAGCTGGGTGGACAGTGGGGGACGACTGAGGGGAGGGAGCCATCCTGTCCATTCTGAAGGGACTGCAGGATGGTTAAGGGCCAGGAAGGTTTCCATGATGTGGGCTTGAGAGATTAGAGAGTTCCCAAGCAGACTGGGATGGGCGAGAGAGAAGAGGAGGAAGGATGGGCATTCCTTGGAGAGAACACAGCCTGGCTAGGCTCAGAGATAAAGAATGGCATCCTGGACAGCACCTTGATAATTGCAGGCTTATAAGAAATGCTGTTGAAAATTTAGGTGTTCCTCACATAGGGAAGGCACATGCATAGTGGTTAGCAGAGCGAGCTGTAGAATCTAAATCCTTCAGAGTCTAGCTTCACTGCTAACTTTGTTTCTCTGAGCCTGTTTCCTCACCTGTAAAGTGGGAATACACATTGAGTATCCCTAATCTAAACTCCAAAGTGCTCTAAAATCTGAAACTGTTTGAGTGCTGAGATGATGTGCAAAAGAAATGCTCATTGGAGCATTTTGGGTTTCAGATTTTCAGATTAGGGCTGCTCAACTGGTAAGCATAATGCAGATACTGCAAAATTGGAAAAAATCCAAAACACTTCTGGTCCCAAGCATTTCAGATAAGGGATACTCAATCTAATAACAGTGCCTACCTTTGTGGAGATGTTGTGAGGAACAAATGTGACCCTCCATGCAAGGCACTTGGCACAGTGCCTGACAGATGTAAGCACCCAGTGAGTGTAGACTCGGCGGTTGTCCTGAGGCACCTGAACAGTGAGATGAACATAGTATTTGGACTTGGAGTCAGGGGTTCTGCAAGGGAATCTTAACCCTGAGCCTCACAAGTTAGGTCAACTCAAGTCTCTTACATACTTGTGCCCTTAGTTTCCTTATCTGTAAAATAAGCAAATTAGGATAATTATTGATTTCTAAACTACCTCATAGTTTAAAGTACTCTGATTCTGATGTGGAGGAAATTACAATCTAAAGAAGAAAATCCTCATGTGTGAAATTTAAGCTAGATGAATCTGCTGGTGTTACAGTAGCTCAGCAGTGGAAAATTAGCGTATACTTTCTGGTTCTATACCTGAAAGGCATTAGGTAGATGGACCAAAGCAACACTTGGCTAAATCTGACTGTAGACATTGACCTGGTATAATATTCATATATAGGACGGGTGAAAAAAATAGCTCAATAAAAATAATAATAATGGACTGAGAATATTTTCTGCATGTTTTGAAGACCATTTTCATTCTAATTGAAGCAAATTCAGTGGATTAAAGATGTTATTGATGCAATTCACTCCCCAAAGTGAACTACTTAAATATGCAAACATGAACCATAGGGTTCTGGAGTCAGCGTTTCTCAGGTGTTTCAAATGGATGAAGGATTTGAAATCTGTCATTTATTGTATAAATATGACCAAGTTAACCACTTTTTTCTTTAGTGCCTCTTAACATGAAGTGGTAAACTTTTTTCCGACACTGAAAATGATGAAAGTTTCATACTCATTCTTGGAGTGCAATAATTGTAATAGCTAACGCTTACTGCATTCTTAGGTGTACTTTGCAACTAAATACTTGCTGTTTATTCTCAATTTAATTCAGCAACTCAAAGGAGCATTTTATGGCTGAGGAACCAAGGTTCAGAGAAATTTGTGACTGTACTGAGATTATTACACTTAGCTAACACAGCCAGTAAATAGATGGGTGTCTTCGTTACATAATTTGGGATTGTTGAAGCCCACCAGCCGAAGACCCCAGAAATCCACCTGTGGCCAAACAAAATTAGGTTTATTTAACTTGTTGGGGTAATAAAAAAGGCAAACGCATGGAGCCCCAGGGAGAAGCAAGGGCTTAGTGTAGATTTGGACTTGTTCTGGGTGATTCTATTAATAAGGATTTAGGGAAGCAAAGACCAGGTTTCTTTTGGGTGTTGCCAAGGAAGCAGGATCAATTTGGTGTCTTGGTAATCTTTATCTAGGAAGTGGGAAGATTGGAGACTAGATAGTCACCAGTAAAGAAACTAGAGTAGGTCATATTAGTTGAAACAGGAGGATATTTAATTATTTTGTGGTGCAGAGAGTCCTCACCTTTGTCTTGGTTTAAACTTAACTGCAAGTTGTTTCTTTCCTGTCCCTTCATGGCGGAGTGACCTTGTCTGAGATTTGTTTGTATCAAGCAAAAGAAATTTATTCTGAGTTATAAACACTCAAGCACTGTGGTCTGGATGTTAAACTCTCTGGGCTCTCATTCTTTCTCTCTTTATTCCTTTTCCTCCTTCCTTTCTTTGTAGTCTCCCTTCCTCTAGCTGTTTCATAGCAACAAGCTAATTTTTTCTTTCCCCAAAATAATCAAAGGTTGTTAGGTCTTGTGTTCTTCTCTGGGGGAGCATTAGCATAGAGAAGGTTTTCAGATCCAGGGAGACCTAGTCTTGAATCCCAGCTCAGCCACTTAACAGCTGTTTGACTTTAGACAAATCACTTCATCTTTTTGGCCTAGCTTTCCTCATTCTTAAAAACTGGGAACGGGCCGGGCGCGGTGGCTCACGCCTGTAATCCTAGCACTCTGGGAAGCCGAGGCGGACGGATCATTTGAGCTCAGGAGTTCGAGACCAGCCTGAGCAAGAGCGAGACCCTGTCTCTACTAAAAATAGAAAGAAATTGGCCAAACAACTAAAAATAGAAAAAATTAGCTGGGCATGGTGGTGCGTGCCTGTAATCCCAGCTACCTGGGAGGCTGAGGCGGGAGGATCACTTGAGCCCACGAGTTTGAGGTTGCTGTGAGCTAGGCTGACGCCACGGCACTCTAGCCTGGGCAACAGAGTGAGACTCTGTCTCAAAAAAAAAAAAACTGGGAATGATAATTACCTTGCAGGGTATTTTGAAAATCATAGATAACTTACATAAAGTACTTGAAACACAGTCCAGTCTCAAATAGTGGCCACCATAAAAAAGGCATAAACATTTGTCAAATGTTGATTTGCTTATACTTTATAACAGCCATGAAAATACCTTTTATGTAATAAACTATTAGATTTTAGAAGGTCACATAAGGTGGCCTTCTGTGACCCACCTTGCAGAAGTGCCTCTGAATGTGATTACCCACCATTGATGTTGGTTATATGATGAACTTTGCTATAGTTACTTTTTTGTACATTTATTAAAAATGAAAAATAAAAGATAACATGCTATACATTTAATTAATAAAAAATATAAGATCATTTTAAAGCTCTTTATGGTTCACTACCTGATACATCTTCATGAGATACAGGCAAGAATGCTATACTTAAAGACTGAGGAAGAAATGGCTATCTAGTTAGGAATATAAGGAAGAAATGGAAAATGTAGACTATTTTTATTATACAGGTAGGAAAAGATCTCATAAAACATTTCTGCTGAAGGTTTACTTTTTTATACATGGCCCAAATTAGGGTTAAGTTGTAAGAAGAGTATATATTCAAATTAGCTCTGAATTGTGGGGTGATTTTTGTTTTCATCTTTGTATTTCGCTACATTTTCCAGGTTTTTCTACAGAAATATTACATCATATGAAAATAAAAGCATTTAGTCTTCTAAAAATTGTTTTTCCTGAAGTTGCTAGGCTTCTAAGTCATGGTTGCCAAAACCTTGACACTGTGTGCACACACGCCCACGCACATGTACACATGTCTCATGGAACGTCCTTAGGCGTGTTAGATATTAAATGGTTTTTGAGATTCTAGTTCAGAATTTACCTCAAATGTGTGAATTATGGAAACTGTCATGGTCCATCACAGATGGTCGGGATGTTGCCAAGATACAGTTCAGTCTCCTTTATTGTGTCTTTGTGTTTGCTTTGTGTGAGCATTAATAACTCTGTTCTAGAAGCGCAATTGAAAAGCATCCTGTTAATGAAGAAATTTGTTACAAACAACTCACTTTTTGTGTGGTTCCTTCTTTCCTTTGTCTCCCTCCCACCCTCACGTTAGAAGTCTGGCCTTCATTTCCGACACACAGACAATACCGTCCAGTGGTTGAGAGCGATGGAGTCTATTGGGCTACCCAAGGTAAGCCTTCACGTACGGGACCCTGAAAGGCAAAGGGGTAGTGCACACACACCTCGTTGTGGAAAATGATTTTGCAGATTGGGATATGTTAACATAGGAATGAGAAATGTGAGCACTGAACAAAAATATGGAAAGGCCTATACCAAGTAATATATGGCAAGAACTCAGAATGAGGTACGTGCAAGATTGAGAGCTTGTGCATATAAATTAGAGTGTGTGAAAATTAAAATTAAAGTGTGTAGAAGTTAAATAGAATCAGAACAAGCTTTAGCTGGTAAATTTTTGATTTAAAATAGCCAGCTCTTTTTTATGTTGCTATTAATATTTAAACTTAAGATGCTAAGTCTCATATCACTATATATCACTATAAATTATTATAATTTTTTTTTAATTTCAGCATATTACGGGGGTACAAATGTTTAGGTTACATATATTGCCTTTACCCCACCCGAGTCAGAGCTTCAAGCGTGTCCATCCCCCAAATTTTTATAAATTATTATAAGTCATTGTGTCATTTTAAATTTTAAAGGCCTAGTGGGTTATAGCTTTTAATCCTGAAATAGCTCTCTGAAATAAAATTCATTCAGCAAACATTCAGTGCTTGTTAACTTTGAAGAGTAGGCATGCCAAAGCATATGAGAGAATTAGACATGTGGGGGAAATGAGGAAATAATTATATTTGATAAAAATTGTAGAACTATTTTTTTAACCTCTTATTTTGAAATAATTATAGAATCACAGGAAGTTGCAAAAATAGAACATCTTTGTGTATCCTTCATTCAGCTTCCTCCAGTGGTAACAGCTTATAACTGTAGTACAATATTAAACTGACATTGGTGAATTAACAGAAACTAGACTGCAAACCTTATTTGGTTTTACCATTTTTACACGCATTTGAGTGTGTGTGGGTGCACATGGCATTCTGTGCAGTTTTATCCTGTGACTAGATTTGCATAACCATCACCACAGTCAAGAAAGGAACACCAGAGAGGAGGGGGGCCTGTAGATTGCTTCCCTGCCCCCGCCCTGCCCCTGGCAACCACTAGTATGTTCTCCATCTCTGTAGTTTTGTCATTTTGAGAATGATATATAAATGGAGTCATAGTTGATAACCTTTCAAGACTGATTTTTTTCCACTGTGCATATTTTCCTTGAGATCAACCAGGTTTTCATATGTATCCATCGTTCACTCTTTTGTATTGCTTAGTATGTTCAGCTATTTTAAAGAAATCATTTAAGAGTGGTCCAGCTTGAGGGCAAGGGGAGAGGCTACTGATGTATGAAGTCCTGTGGTGGTGGTATTATTAAGCTGGGTTTCCAATTAAAAACACCCAGCCCTACAAAAGTGAAAGATTCCTTAATGTAAATTATGGATGCCTATTGCTCATCACATCTGTTTTAACGTAGTCTCATTTTATCTCATGATCAATATTTGATTTATTTTGTTCTGCCGTTTGTAATCCGACCACTTTCCCTTCTCCTAAAATGCCAGAGCATTAGATACTATGCTGTTCTGGGCATTAGTTGTAATACAGAATTCATATTTCTGCATTGTGATTTAGCACATACTAACTAGGTACTGAATAGTAAACAGATTAATAAAAAGAATTCCAACAGGATTTTTCTGTGTGAGATGATGTCACATTAGGATAATTTCATTGCTTGGTAGATTTGATATAAATCTTTTCAAATTGTCTGTTTTGGGCCAAACAAGTGATCTTATAAAGCAGATTCTATTTTAACACTGAATTTTACTATGAAGTCATTAATATGTTGCTTTGCAAGGGCGAGAGACTAACCGTATACTGTGAATTGACTTTGATGCATTTGACTGGCATTCCTTCATTTATCAACATTGAGTGCTTACTCTGCTCAGCGCCATGCTAGGTGCTAGAAACACAGTGCTGAATCAAACGTTCTGGGGAGCTATAAATTGATCCCATCTCCTTGCTAAAGGAAGATACATTCATAATTTTCCAGGAGAAATATAAAAGGTTCTTGATGAAAGAAAAAGGAGGAGGGAGTTGTAGTTGTTCTCTACTTATATAGAAGAACCTTAAACCTGGTAACACTTCCGAATTTGGGAATCCTCTTCTCACTGACACTTTAGCAGCAGATGTGTTAAAGGAAAGTTGGAAAGGCTTTTGAAATTTCCTAGACTAGAGACATTTCTTTAAATGCTTAGTGACCGTACATTTTGTAGCTCTAGAAACTTTGCTTCTTTTTCTCTCTGCTTTTCTCAACATCCTATAGAAAATTGCACTTGAGTACCAAGTACTACCATATGGTACATGATTTAATTTTAGTTTTTACATCAAATTTTATAAAATATTTACTGCAAGCAAGTAATGTCAACATGCTTATCTTGATATTATATTAGAAGCTTCAAGCCTGATTACTCTTTTTTTGTGCTTAGGAACCAAGAAGTTTGCTGCCTTACTCTGATATCTGTTTTTTATCAGGCTTTTAGTTTCAAGCTTAAGAAGAATAGTGTGAAAGTGTATTAAAAGCCTTAATGTTCAGATCATTCAATCTGGTAATTCCTTATTTAGGTGATAAACCAAAAGAAGTAATCAGATGCTTAGAAAATGTAGAAATGTTCATTGCAGTAGCTTACAACAGTGAAAAAATGAGGAGCAAAGCAACGTTCAACTATGGGGAACTGGTTAAGCTATGGCTCAAAAATATGAAAGAATCATGTGCATCTATTAGAAATAATCTTCTTATAAGAATACTGAAGGAAATTGGAAATAGTTATATTCTATTAAGTGTTAAATAAGTTTGCACTAAGTACAATTTTGTTTTCACACGCACACATTCATAGGCATAAAAAATCAGAGACATATACAGAAAAGAAAGACCAGAAAAAATAAACCAAATGCTAATGGTGACAGTCTGGAAGGTGGGATCATAGGTATTTTTCCTTCATACTTTCTATACTTTCCAGATTTTAGTCAGTGAAACATATTACCTTAAGCAGATAAAAAAAATCCGTGTGTGTATATTGTGTATTTGCATCCACACATCTTTACGGAACTGTGTAGTCAAGTTTTTAGCAACGTAATAAAGTGGCTTTAAGAAGACCACCCTTCTCAGGCCCATGGCACCCCTGGGCTGTCATAGGAGCGAGAGGGCTACAGAAGGCAGAGCCTACATAGGCTCACGTATCATGAAATAAAATGCTGCCACCCAGCACTGTGGACGTGGCCTTGAATTGGCTGGCTGTGAATCCCACCATTCTCCTGTTGCCACGAGGCGGCTTGCTATCAGGTAGGGGTCCAGATGTAGTGATTGGGTCTGTCAGTAGATCAAGATGAGGCAATGACTTAGAGACTCCTCTATGTTTATGTAATTATAGAATAGCAAGGACAATCAAAGTAGGATTGTTTCAAAGACTTAAAATAATTGAGAGCAAGACGTACAATAAACATTGTTTCTCTCGTTTTCCAGATATTTTATCCAGAAACCACAGATGTCTATGATCGGAAAAACATACCAAGGATGATATATTGCATTCATGCACTAAGGTAGGGGAAAAATACAACTAAAAGAACAACTCTCTAAGAAGTACATTTTAAAAAACTACATTTGAACTTTTTATTTGATTCAGTTGTTTTGAATTTGCTGGTACAAAACTAAAATAATTATCATATAAAATCAGTATTTGAACTTGAAAAATGTTTTTCTGATTCTTTAAAAAGCTAATTCAAAATAGAAAACCAGAAAATTAACAAAAAGCCTTTAAGTGTAGTAAAGAAAACTTAAGTTGAAACTTCTATGAATCCAATTGTAACATAAACCATATTCTTGAGTTATGATCTAGTTTATAAATGGAAATTTATCACATGAACAGGTTTAGAAATCATTATAATCTTGATTTAATGCACTTAAAGTTATAATTGCATTCAATTCTTACCATAGATTAAGAAAATCTAATGTAAGGATGGTTTCTTTTGATGTTTTGTTCAATAGAACTTGTATAAAGTTCTATATAAAGAGGGATAAAGGATAAAGAGGAAACAGAAGTTGCTTTAAATCAGTCAAGATACGGTCAAATCAAGATACGGTCATTTTAAAGCAAATTTGATAACTTAATTTTTGAAAATGTTGAAATTCTGCTAGTTCTGAGTATATTATATCTTATTGGCCTGGAAGATATGTGAGTTTTAAATGGTAACAAAGATGATTCTAAATTCCAGTTTGTGGCTATTATGTGCACACAGGTAATGGTTGGGAGACTTCATGTCTAATTATATTTTAAATTACTTTTAGAACATCTGTCTTGTGTTTTTATCACTAGAAGTCATTTTCCTGGCAGAGTTCTCTGCCTAGAGGTTTATATTAACTTCTTCCTGGCTCTTTTCCTCTCCAAAGGAAAGGGTTTCTATAATAATTCATGGCAATGTTGGCCTTCTAGAGAAGAATTTTGATTATGTCATATAATTTGACTTTTTCCCCTAGTCAGTACTTATGAGATTGCTTTGAAAGATGACAGTTGCTGGAAATACAGACCAAATGTAGGTGCCTTAGCTATGATTTTTTAAAAATATTTTAATAACTTAGAACAACAAAAAAAAAAACTTATATGCCTGCCTCTTCAGATGTGGCTAGAGTATCATGCCAGCAGGTTTCTTTTCTTTTTTTTTTTTGGAGACAGAGTCTCACTCTGTTGCCCTGGCTAGAGTGAGTGCCGTGGCGTCAGCCTAGCTCACAAGCAACCTCAAACTCCTGGGTTCAAGTGATCCTACTGCCTCAGCCTCCCGAGTAGCTGGGACTACAGGCATGCGCCACCATGCCTGGCTAATTTTTTTTCTATATATTTTTAGTTGTCTGATTAATTTCTTTCTATTTTTAGTAGAGACGGGGTCTCGCTCTTGCTCAGGCTGGTCTTGAACTCCTGAGCTCAAACAATCCGCCCGCCTCAGCCTCCCAGAGTGCTAGGATTACAGGCGTGAGCCACCGCGCCCGGCCTTAAGTGTCTTTTTAATTGAAAAGCTAACAAACTGTCCATTGATATTTCTTCCAAAAAAACAAAAACTGAGTGGTAACTAAGTCCCTAGGCAACATATTCAAAGCAAAGAGAATTAAACATAATTTTTAGAAAAGTCCTTAGATCCAATTAAGGGAGCCCTGCCACACACAGGCCAATCAATACCAGTGGTGCTCCTTGACTCTAGGAGGCTGGAAGGCATCCTAATACCCCCACTCAGTACGTTTGCTTCAATTAGCCTTTCTCCAATTTCCAATTCATGATAATATTTTGTTAATTCTGTTTCAGAAAACTTTATGCAAGTTGTTTTATGTGCAATGCCAACTTTTAAAAGGTCACTAAAACTAACTGGACAATAAACTAGGCAGAAATCGCTTTACAAAAAAGAGGAAAAGCCCAAAATGCTGCTTTCTATAGAGAACCCACAGTTTCATTTTATTCAGAGCAAAGAAAAAAGAAACTTTTGATGATACTAGAAGAAAGTCAGCCATAGGTTTGGAATCTGTACTCAGACTACACATGCAGTAAGGATAATATTCTGCTAATACAATGGATTTGCTGCTGCATTTGTCTGCTGTTTGTCTAATGTTAACAATTATCAATAGCAATGCAACTAGTATTTGGAACAATCCTTAGTGTTACAGTGTCAGGCACAACATTTCGCTTCTCTTCACACCACTGCTCGTCTTGGCGTACCTGGGCTTCCTCCTCTTCGGCAAAGTCATTTTTGCTGTTGAAGGTCTTGAGAACCTCCCTAGGTGTTTTCCCCTTGATCATACTGACAACAGTCTTGCACGTAACATCAAGCAAACCGTTGATGTCTAAATAGTTTGCAGCCAAAATAAGTTTAAAAGTGCTCCTTGGTCAACTTTCAGGAATTCTTGGTTCCAAACAGGGATATGGTCTGTTTGCTTTTCCTTGTTCTCATCATCCTCAGGAGGAGGAGGGTCATCCTTGTGGGTGCACCACTGAACGACCTTTTTTAATATTGCCGCATTAACATTTGTTAGAGGAACTGGATCATCATCTCCTTCATCCATTCCCAAATCGTCCAACATAATCTTGATTGTCACAGATTGTTTGACAATTTCCACATCAACTTCGAATATCTCTCCATCAGAACTGTGCAACTTAATCGAAGGCATTGTGTTCAGTCTCAAAGAGACAGCCGGCCAGAGACTAACCAGAGCTGGGCAGTATCAGCACAAGAAGAGAGAGGCGGAGGACAAGGCCACTCTGCCAGCAGGTTTTCTAAAAGCTTCTTGTGCAAAAGTGTCTATTTTGAGGAATATTTTCAACAGTATTGCCCAATAATCTTTATCAAATTATTTTCAGAGCCTAGAATGATCACTTAACGCTGTAGTTAGTACTGGGTTTGTGACCTGCTAAGCCTGCCACCGTTAGTTAATGTCATTATCATATCCATGCATCATAGTGTTAATCTCCAAATCCGTAGCATACTCAGGGGGTGTCTTGTGTAAGCTGAAATTGATTTCCCGATGCGGACACCAGGGACGTTCATGTTAAGCAGCTTATAAACAAATGGTGTGTGTTGAGTTCCTTTCTGGTGATGTCACTGTTCTTTTAAAGGAGTGACATAGAGCTGCACTGAGGCTTACAAATGTATGTTTGCCATAGTTTTAACAATGACTTGAAGAGCTTGGTAAACAAAGAAAAAAAACTTCTTGCTTATTGCTGTGTGCAAATGTTGATGTGACAGAAAGTTTCTAGGGCTGTGTTTCTCAGTCATTATGGATGTCTCCATTACTTTTACTCTTCCTAGGGGGGATTCCCCTTGGATCATGTCGCTCACCAGATCTGACCTTAAGTAGGATCTTTTATCTTTGAAAGCAATATTATTTATTAATAGCAGCATTCCCCGGGGGACTCTCCTTCACTTTTTTTTACTCTAAATTACAGTATGGAACTGAGAAGTCCCAAGTGTGTCTGAGGTTTTTTTCTATCATGACTTTTTCCTGCTATGATTTAGAATGCAGTGAGTCACTCAAATGAGGCTGATATTCTACTCCGTTGGGCAAGACACGTTTGGAAGCCGGGTAGCAATCCTTTAATAAATACATACAGTGGGTTTGTCCTTGCTGCATAGTTAGAAGTGATGCTGGAAATGACCAAATATGTCTTTAGCTTTTGCATCCTGGTGGCTAATACAGCAGCATCGCTGGTATAGAGAGTTTTCATTACCTGATAGAGAATTAGGCAGGTCAGAGATTCTGACTGTAGCTCAGGGGCCGGGAGGGGAGTTTCCTCCAGGTGGTTCAGCTTGCCAGGCACTGGCTTCTTCCTGCCCCAGCCTGTGGGCCTGACTGATCTGCAAACTTAGTTCTTGGTCCTCCCCAAATGTGTCTCCTGTTCCCTGTTGTCTTAATTGGTTCTAACAACCTAAGATCCCCTGGATTCTTGCTCTTGCTTCCTGTTTGTCTCTGCTTTTCCCGTTTCTGGCCTGCCCTTCACCTTGTCGTTTTATTTCTGACCCCACTTTCATTACCCACCACTCACTGATCCCTCTGTCAGTGTAGCTTGGCATTCTCAAGCCCAAACGCCAGTGAGTGTCACTACGATAGCTCCAGAAGAAATTCTCAAACTTTGCCAGAGTAGACAGACTCACCTGAGTGGTGGGTGGTGTCATTCTTTTTCTAAACAAATGTTTATCTTTTTAAAAAAATAAATAAATAAATAAGATATACCCATCATGGAGAACATTGGAAAATTCAGAAAGAATGTCAAAGGAAAAGCTGAAATACCTGCTGTCTCAACACCAAGTGAAAACCACGGTAAATATTTTGGTGTTTGTGGACTTAATGTGTGTACTGTACATGGCATATTTTCCTTTCGTGGCTGCTTTTGGAATGTTATGAAGCCTGTGCAATGCAAAGGAGCCAGTTCAAGAAGTGAGAGCCTTGCTCACTAGTCACCTCACTGATTTCTTTTTTTTAGTGTCTGAAGGCCTTTTATGCATGGAGAAGAATACTTTTTGCCTGTGTAGTACCTGATTTATTAAAGATTTATAATAAATTATATTAGACTCCTGTGAAGTGTTTAAACATTATTTATGAAACTGAATTCATTTAACCAATTGAACCAATTAAATTTAGAACTGATTTTTTGAATCCTTCACTAACCTTAAAGAGCAGGTGAAATGCCCAGATGCATTATTACAAACTTATCACACTAAAACCTATTCTGAATGATCCATACTACAGGTTACTCATTTTTTCATTATTTATACACTAATTTTGACTTGTCCTAGGGCTGTTATATTTTTTTGATAGCACTAGAAACAAAAGAATGCCCCTTCAAACCTGCCAAGATTACAGATCTGGTTTCCGATGGATCAGCTGTGGGTCAGAACATGGCCCCGCTTTGGGTGGTTCTTCCAAGATGAGTCAGACCGTGGCCAACAGGCATCAGGCTGAACTTGTTTTTCTTCTTTTTTAAATAAAAAGGACCGTTTTTATTTTTACATGGCTTTCAGATAGGTTTTTATTTACAGTCTGGTCCCTACCCCCACCTCCCCATTACCCTGAAATTATTTACTTCCTAAGTCTTGCTTGACCAGCATTATATAATCCATTGTCCTGTCATAATGATGTATTGGCCTAATGTGTGAACATTATTAAAAGCTTATGTATGCCTTTTAAATATTTTCTTGAAATTAATTGGATTTTCTAGAGGTTTCCATCTCCCAGGAGACAAGGGATTGTCTCTACCCAGTGCTCTTTAGGCCTTTTCGCTGATTTGTCATCTCAGATCATGTTTCTGGGTCCTCTCTGTTTGTTCATTGAATGTGATCACTGATGTTGGACATTCTTTCCAACTGGCTGGTTTCATTACCACCTGTGCTCCTCAGTTCTTCCTTATCTTGGGACACTTCCTGTGTTTTCTGGGACTATTTGGCTTACTCAGAGTTCTCGGTCTTTATTTTTTCCTGTAGCATGTATAATATAAAAACAAATAAATATCTACACTCTATATAAACAGATTTGAAAGAAACAAAGTACCCATGTTTTAATAATCCCCCAACTTGTTAAAATCAAAACAAATAATTATACATGTATTATTTTAACTCTTTGCATTGCAACTTCCTTTTTGTACCCTGTATACTATTCCCTTTTGATTATTGTTTTGAACTTCTGGCCTCCATAGACTTAACCAAGGTTAATATCTTCTTTTCTGATGAACCAGATTGTTTTGGTTTGGTCAGTCAGAGCTCTTTCTGGCCAGCTCCTTCGTCCTTGTGGCACTGTCCCTGACATTCTTTGAAATATCCTTGCTCTGTGGTTACAACAGGATGTTCCGGTTTTATCCTGATTATTCCTACTTTAGGACATGAAGTCAACTACCCTCCAAGGAATCCTTTAAGGTCATGTGTTCATATCGATTCTAGTTTAACATTCTAATTTCCTAATGTTCTAGTTTAACGTTATTAGGGCTCTGGATTCTGCTTTTCTTACTATATAGTTTATTTGACCATTGAGATTCCACTACACTGACAGCCACAAACTGAAGATAAGTCTGTCTCCCCTCTGTGTAAGGATCACTGTTCCTGCTGCTGTAGCTGCATCTCAGCAGCCGTGTTTCTAGGAGCAGTGGTGATGCTGAAATGGCACACGCTTGGGGCTGGCATTCGTGGAAGAGGCTGTGGCAGATCCACTGCTGGTTGACCAGCTGTCCTAAGCACCCTGGCTGCTTTGTAGATGACGCTCCTCCACCCAGCTCTCTCACACAGTCAGCCGCCTGCCTTGCTTACCAGGTTGCCTTCGAACCTGTTCCTCAGACATTAATGCATATTTTCCTGTCTAACACTCCATTCCCTTAAAACTCTTTCCCTCCCCAAGAAACCAGTTGAACCCATATATCAGATTCTCTCTTACAGTGAACATATTTCCATTTATAAATAAGCTTTCTATAGTTCCTTAGCCCAAAGGATAGGCTCTAATCCTTTGGGATTCTCAGAAGGGATATCTAGAGATGGCAATATTTAGGATTAAGATGAGGGAGGCAGTTGCACCTCCTCATGTCTTCGAAGTCATTGCTTGTTCAAAATTCTCCCCATGCTCCAGACTATCCTCTCTCTTCTTTTTCCTGTCCTAAATTATTATCATGGTTATGCCCTTCTGTCCTGCTAAATCCTAAGCTCTTTAAGACCATGAGCCACATCTTGTCACTTAACACAGCACGTACACCATTGATTCCAACTTGAAGTCTCTGAAGTTTGTATTTTTTAACTTCTCATTTCCCTATAACAAGTCTGCCTCAGGATTCCTTTTGTTTGGGGCTGTACATTGGCTATAGAGTACTGGATTTTGACATGATATTGGCAGTGATGTATGTGACCAAGATGGAAAAATAGATTCAGTAGATAAAAGTATATCAAACATGGAGTCAGAAAAGGGAAATAGTGAAAGAGTCTTAGGGTTGGAAAAAGTGGGGGAACCACTGTGGTAGGTTGTAAGTGTATACAAAGGGCACATTTATTTAACAAAGAATAATAATAAAAACAAAAGCTAATGCTAATGGAGCTTTTAACTATGTGCCTGTCACTATTCAAAGCACTTCACAGGTATGATCTCATTTCATCTTCACAGCATACCTGTGCAGTGGATACTATTATTAGTCCAATTTTATATAACCTAGGTAGTTGAGGTGCTGGAGGCTGCCCAAGGTCACATAGTTAGTAGATAACAGAGTCGGCATTCAGAGCCAGGCTATGTGGGAACTGAACCCATGCTGTTACCAACTCAGCCAGCCTCGGCTTTAGGAGGGAGTCAAGTGTTTCCCTACTACTGAGAAAATTAAAACAACAATGGCCTTAGACTTTTCAGCACATGCCTCTGTGCTATTATATTTACGATGTTTAAAATGAAGAATTATGGAACTTGAGCACTGGAAGGGCCTTGGGAAGTTATTTTAGTCCAGATAAGGGAACCGAAAGCTTGGGTTACATGACTTGCTCAGAGTCACACATCTAGATTTTGCCATTCTTGGGACCAGGATCAAGAGCTTCTGATTCTAGTCCTGTGGTCTTTCTGGTGCCATGTGGCTTTGATTTGCAAACATTCTTCCTACACGTTATGGCACAAAATGAGCTGCATGTGATATGATCCAGGAAAGCTGAAATAAATTT